GAGACCTCTCCCAACTCGACATGACCTTTATTTTCAAAGTTATAGAATTTACAACAAAAGCCCCAAATGTTCATTGTCAGCTAAAAGGCTACAGAAATAAGAAGAAATTAATTTAGGGCTCTTCGTGTAAATTCTATAACTTTGCAAAGAAAGGTCATGTAGAGTTGGGAGAGGTCTCATTTTAATCAGAAATGTGCGAGCTACAATCATGCCGCATTAAGAAAGGTTCGGGTTATTTTTTGGGGTTTCTGAAAAACTGGTTTTCTAGAAAACCAGGTCTCCGAAGGCCTAGCAGCAAAAACCATTGTCATATTCGGAATCAGCATAGTCGATAACCTATTCTCCACTAGGTTTCAAGAAAACAGCGAGCGGACACTTGGGGCAGTTCCCTCGTCAGTTTTGATCAAGTTATAGACAATAAATCTCGCAGAACATTTTTGATGTAAACTACGTTTTGTTTTAGGAGCAAAGTGTTTCTGAAAGCTCATTTTATTATCACATACTAATCGTCCAAGAAGGAACAAAGGGTAAAATTTTAACCTCAAATGGATCGCTCATCATTGAGTTAAAGACAAAACAATTCTTTGAATCTCGCAGGAAAAACTTAAAATAAAAACTACGCCATTCTTTCTGTAACACCTGTTGGACTAGCGAAAATAAGACCTATTTAGATAAGGGAACAGAGCTGAATTTGCTGTACACATCCTCTAAATTTACCGCCTGACTCTCTATTCATACTGATTTTTTCTTAGAGATTATGACATGATAAAAGCATTATCTCCTCGGCGAATGCATTAAAATTTGATTGCACTATGTTCTCGAACCAACGTCCGAGTAAAACATAGTGGAATTAATCGTAGATAGCAAAACGGTGACTGGAAAAAATGTAGAACTAGTGCGTACCGGTGCAGCATAGCATGCGGTGGGCACCGGTAGTGCCAGCCTTTTTCCAGTACTGTACTGCAATTTTTTTCTAGGATAGTCGATGATACTTTTCATAAGAATCTTACATTTCCTTTCTGAAAGATTTTTCAAAAAAACGGTCCACTCTGGGCGTAAAGCTTGGAGCGACGTCCGGCCATACCAAAGGACACCGCGTCTATTGTTACAACATAATTAGAGGCACATATGCCATCAAGACGACAGCTTGGCTGTGTTGCATCGCTGCGCCTGTCACCATAGTCTTGACTATACACAGGTCACGCGACTCGATGGGCATCACTTTAACTGTTTGGCCTCTTTGTCCTTAACTGCCACATTGTCTGGCATCAGGGAGTACGTCAAAACGTACTCTCTTTTTTCTTTACTTGGGTACTCAAATGGCAAATAAATGTTCAAAGTTCGTTTTGTTTCTAATTTCAGTCACCAAGTAGTTTTGGATTCAATTATAACTCATTACAATTTTAATTTTCTATGAGTGACTTGGTTTTCCTATCCAGACAGCTCAATATGATCTGGCTGGCTAACGATAAACACACAAATGCTTATGTTCATTGACGAAGCGAAGAAAAGAATTATTGAGGAAAAGAGAAGGAACGTTGCTTACTGTACCAAAAATCATCACAACACATTTTTTAGAGTCTGATGGCCAGAATTTAGACCAATTATTAATATTTTCAAGATCAGAAAATTTATGATGTTAGCTGCCGTTTAAATATTATTGCGACTGTGATAATTTGACGTGTCGTCGACAAATAGTCTTATTTTAGATTGTGCTTGAGAAGTAATGTCATGAATAAACAGGAGGAATAGCAGAGATCTAAGAAAGGAACTCCTCTATTTACTGATATTGGGGTAGACACCAGTCCGTTTACCACGGTGACACAACTTCGGCCATTTAGATAGTTTGAGAATCATTTTATATATAGTAGAAATATAGTATTTCCTCGCAACATGACTGCAAAAATTATGAATCGCTTCTTGTATGAAGCTCTTAGATGAAAACAAGTCTTTTCAACAGATACAACCAGATTGGATCTCTTACTCAATGTAGAGTCTGTATTGAAATCTGCCTTGCAGTACTATTAGCTCATAGCAAGAAACTGCCTGCTGACTCACATTCAAGTCAACTCGTTTACCCTTTCAGAATCCCAAGCATCTGTGTACCTACACATACATATGAATACGATATTTACTGTGTACCAAAGTGAATATCATAGCCCAAATACCGATATTTATGTTTATAGACATGAATATAATACTATATATATTTGTACGTGTACATATACTTACTTCGAATTTTTGGCATTTACACAAATATATATATTGCCTGTATTCTAGTTTTAAGAGATATATATTTTACGGATACATAATGTATCCATATGATTAGGTAGACAAATGTCGAAAACAAAATGTCGACAACAAAACGACAAAAAAATGTCGATAGATAAAATGTCGACAGGTAAATTGTCGACAGTAGATAATTGTTGTACAATAATTGTTACCTGTAGAAAGCAATTCCCGTGAATTACTTTCTCTCAGAATGACTGCTAGACATTTAGAAGGGTGCCTAAACATTCTAGCACTGAGATTCCATGTACCATCGATACAGCGATATTACCGCGAATACAAAAAACGATATTACCGCGAACAATTGTTTATTGGAAAAGACCAATAAATGAGACCGCTTTTCTATTTTGTACATCATGTTTTCAAACGTAACTGAAGTTAGGGGTGACTAGTCATTATCTGACACAGTCTCAAATGTTTTGTATGAAACTACTTTTCGAACTTACTCTCACAATGCCCTTCCCCCTCCCCATCTCCCGCGACATGATATATAAAATACAAAACCAGGCTCATTTATTCTTCTTTTCTAATAACGAGTCTTCGCGGTAATGTCATTCGCGATATTGTCGGCACAAAATGAAAATTATACGAATGTGTTGGTACATGTATGACTCTAACTCTTCGTTCTCACTCATATGCATTTTTATTTTATTTTTCATTGATATGTGCTCGAATTTTACCTAATAAACCATAAATTTAATTTATTCATGCTCCAATTTTATTTTTTTATCATCAACTTCTTTTCTTTGTATTTCATGATGTCGACCTTTTACATTGTCGACATTATTTTTCGGTCGACATTTGATTTTCGACATTTTTTTGTCAACATTTTACCGTCGACGTTTGACTACTTTCCCATCCATATTACTGCGTTTAAGACACTTAACAAAAAAAAAGGTTAAAATCGATTTATTGGTCATTAATGAGAAGACGAAAAAATCGTAAAAAGAAAAAGAATATTACATTCTTTGGTCGCTATACACCGGTAGGATGATGTGTTTAAGTTGGAGAAAATCGAGTGTGACTTTTTTCATAGCATAATGTATCGCTTTACAATCTAGTCCGTTAAGTTTTATTGAGCCTGCTGGAACATCCGTTTTTGACAGTTATCGCTGGCCCATATACTGGCGCATTTGGTTTGCAACTGATTGATAATGTTTTCCCGTCCCGGCACCCATACCAGTTGGAGAAGACACATGCGGAGACCCATGCGCTGCTGGAGTCCTACCATGGACAGGATAGTACGAGGGAGCAGCATAATGGTAATTACCAGCACCGCCATATGGATCATATGGATAATAATAATCATAACTACCATCATATACTTGTTGGTAGTTATTTCGTCTTAGCAGGCCATATGCAGCAGCTCCAGCACCAGCCGCAAGTAATAAGCCTAACACCATTTAGCTGACTTCTGTAGTAAAATGTACACTATGCTTAAAAAGTGAATGAAATATTTTTTTAAGCATTTATCTATTTTTAAGATGCACTTAAACTATTGTTTAACTCAAAGTAAAATTATGCGTAACTATCATGTGTAGCATGATGTGTTGTATATTCAAAACTGAAATTGGCGACAAGACATTAGCGAGTATACCTATTAGTAACTGACACTTCATAATTTGTATAAGTATAAATTACTCTACTCTTTTTATTGCTTTCTTAGTGCAAAATTGAGGTAAACTGTTTTTATACAAAATAGGAAATTACTATCATAGCTTACTTAACTTTAGAAATTCTGTATAAAGATGCTACACATTTATTTGTAGCAAAGGTAATAAAAACAAAACGAATTATGATTAGGCTGTTCTTACTAGTAATGTTTATGCAGAAGAGAAAAAACTGCACATACAAATATCACCAGTCAACCATGCATAACGAAACGCGTTAAGAAATGTACAGCTCTATGTGCGCAATTACATCATTATAATTTTAACAGCGGATACAGAAAGAATCTGTGTAAAAAATCTGGTTATTTTATACATCTATACCCATTAGATTGAAAATTGCGACGACAAGTTTTATGTATGTCGAAATAAGTATTTCGTCAACGTATACATTATACTCTTCTGGGCAAACTTGTTAATAAATAAAATGAAACACTAACACCGTATGCACAAAGAAATAAGCATATATTTTCATCATTAAATAGCCTTTATCGTAATCCGCATGTCTGTAGAATAAACGGTTACAGTAGTCTTACGAGGGAACCTCTTGAGGTTATAAATCGCTTTTGAACTCGGACTACTTGTATCTTGTAGACCTCAGTGAGTAGTGAAATACTCTAAGTTGGTTCATCCCCATGGTGCTTT